AATTTTGAGCGTAGAGTGTTGTACCATTCAAGAAATGATCCATCCATTTCATTATGACTTGTCTGATTAAACTAATTATGGTTCTGTCCGTATTACAATGGAATGCTAGGAGTTTGATTGCGAATGGACAGGAACTAAAAAAAGTTATTAGTGATCTAGAGGTTAAGCCTGAATTGGTATGCATTCAAGAAACGTGGCTACGGCCTCACCTTGATTTTGTTATCCCAGGATATCATTCAGTTAGATTTGATAGGGCAGAGAGCCTTGGAGGAGGGTGCGTCACGTTTGTTAAGGATGGCATAGCGTTTAAAAGTGTCCTCCCTGAGGGAAATCATGAGTTATTGTGGAATTGTTTGACATGCAGCATCCATTGAGAGTGATAAACTTTTATAACCCATGTAAAAGATTAGGGCCGGAGATGTTTGATGAGATAAGTGGGCCAGGGCAATTTAAAGAAATATGGTGTGGTGATTTCAATGCTCACAGCAGTCTCTGGGGAAGTGATCACACTGATGGAAATGGCTCTGCGGTTGAGGAATTTATGGATGTGAGAAATCTTGTATGTGTTAACAATGGGGATGGAACAAGAATGGATATATATAGAAATAAAATGTCATGTATTGATGTTACATTAGTGTCTGCTGGTATGGCCAATTCATGTGTGTGGAATGTAGGAAGTGACAGTCATGGCAGTGACCATTTCCCAATTTATTGTACAATCAATATTGGTAAACACCTGCAAAACGGCCCTATTCTTTCCAGGTGGTGCTTTAAAAAAGCAAATTGGGAGGCATTTAAGGAAAAGTGTAGACAATTAGCCTTGGATATTAATCTGAGCTTAGATATTGTTGAGTGTGATGAGAAGTATCAACTATGCTAAGTACTGCTGCTTTGGAGTATATTCCCAAAAATACCATTAAAGGTAATAAAAAAATTGTTCCTTGGTGGAATGAGGAGTGCAGCTTAGCTGTTAAGGATCGTAATAAAGCATTGAGGACTCTAAAGGAGAATGTGTGTATTGAAAATGTAATTGAGTACAAGAAGAAAAGAGCTAAGGCACGTAAAATCATTAAAACGACAAAGAAGAATACATGGAGGGAGTTTTGTGCTAACCTTGGAAGGACAAGCAGCAGGATGGTCTGGAGTATGATGAAGAAAATGAGTGGGAAAAGAGTTGCTACTAGGATTCCAGTTCTGGTTGATGGTGGAAATGTAGCTGTAATAGATTCAGATAAGGCTAGTCTGTTAGGGAAAGAGTTTGCTGCTGTGCATAGTGGAAATCACTTGACAGATATGCATAGACAGAGGAAATGTGAGATGCTCACTGAATTTGAAAATTAAGTAAGGAGGAAGTGTGAGAGTAACTCTGTTATGGATGTAGATTTTACTATGGCAGAACTTAAAGGTGCGCTGCAAGGTAGTAAGAATTCAGTTCCAGGGAGTGACCAGCTTAGTTATGTTATGTTCAGAAACCTTCCCAATGAAGCCTTAAAAATTGTGCTGGAATGTTTTAATAAAATCTGGGACAAGGGTAGATTACCAGAAAGCTGGAAAACTGCAGTTATCGTACCCTTTTCTAAACCTGGGAAAGATGCAAATAGTGCCAAAAATTATAGACCAATTGCCCTGACGTCTTACTTATGTAAGTGGATGGAAAAAATGATTGTTGCAAGAATGGCTTATTATCTAGAGAAGAATAGTCTGTTCAGTAAATATCAACATGGTTTCGGAAAGGGTAGATCAACAGCAGATGCTTTGATTAAAGTCAGCAATGAAATGGAAAAGGCTCTGAAAATGAAAGAGGTATTTGTCATTGTCTTCTTTGATATTGAGAAGGCTTATGATTCAATGTGGAGAGAGGGTCTCCTCATTAAAATGAGTAGAATGGGTCTTGGAGGGAAAATGTTTAATTGGATGAAAAGTTTTTTATCTGAACAAAAATTCCAAGTCAAAGTGGGCAGTGCTATATCTGAGAATTTTGACATTGTTAATGGGATTCCACAAGGTAGTGTGGTAAGCCCAGTTATGTTCAACTTGATGATTAATCATATCTTTGATTCGATTGGAGATGGCATTCAGTCTTCACTATATGCAGATGATGGAGCAGTGTGGAAAAGGGGTAAGAATATTAAACACGTATTTAAATGTATGCAAAAAGCTATTTGTGCAGTGGAAAAATGGTCGTATGAGTGGGGGTTTAAGATTTCAATTGAGAAATCATGTTACATGGTAATCAGTAGGAAAAAGATTGTATGTTTTCCAGCTCTTCATCTGTAAAATTGTCAGATGGAAAAAGTAACTCATTTCAAATATCTGGGGATGTGGTTTGATGAGAAGCTCAGCTGGGGTAAACATGTAGAGAACACAGAGACAAAATGTAAGAAGATTGTGAATTTATTAAAATGTATATCAGGCTCTCAATGGGGTGCGGACAGAATTCTTGTATTAAAGGACAACTCACCCTCAAATCCACTTTTTTTTTGCTGATAAACTGTATAAATGAGTGTCCAATAGTGTTGTCTACATATCCTGGTCATATTTTTGTCACTTTGGTGCAAATTAGTTGAAAGTTAAACTTTCTGTCTAAAACCGTCTGTGAGGCGCCATCTGCTGGCGACCTGTATTACTACATTTGAATTTTGAATCTGCCGCCAACACTGGTGCGGCAGCAAGACCTGACGTCTGAAGCAAGACCTGACGTCAGCAGCCCCCCGCCCAGAGCAATGTAAACGGCCCAGTCTCGTTCACGCCCCCTTTAGTCCTCCAGGCTACGCCCATTTAGAGAAAGATTTGAACAGGAAATGTGAGTGACGTAAGCTCCGAGGAGCGGGGGTGAGAACCACTTTAAAGATGTGCAGAGCTATCATGAGGTCTACCTTGGACTACGGTTGCATGGTTTATGATTCTGCAGCTAAATCCCATCTTGAGAAGCTGGATCGAGTACAGTTCAGGGCATTGAGAGTGTGTATCGGTGCTATGAAATCTACCCCAATCAATGCGCTACTTGTAGAATCAGGGGAATTCCCATTAACATTAAGAAGATCGAAGGTTGCTCTCTCATACTGGATTAGACTCCAAGGACAAAAGGAATGTAATACTGCATATACTGTGTTACAGAATTGCTGGGAGTATGAAAAATATCCTAATGGGGGATTTGGATGGAGAATTAAAGAGCTGGTGAAAGCTCATAATGTTGGCAATGTTCCCTTGTCTCCTGCTACAGTGTATTGTAACATTGCTCCATGGATGCTTCCACAGCCTCAAGTAGATTTGAGTCTGCTGAATAAAAAGAAAGAATGGAAGGGTAAGAATTGTGACTTGGGATATATGTCACAAAAGTATTTGGATACAAGGTACTCGTATTGTTTACCTATTTTTACTGATGGATCTAAGGAATGTAGCAATGGTCGTGTTGGAGTGGGTGTGTACATTCCAAAGTTTGAAAAATGCTTCTCAAAGAGACTCACGGACAATCTTTCAGTCTACACTGCAGAACTGTTCGCCATAATACTTGGCCTGCAATGGGTTGAGGAAGTGAAGCCGCTTTGGGTGGTTATCTGTTCAGACCCTGCAGCAGTGCTGCAAAGTCTGACTTCAGGAATGACTTGTCGAAATGATTTGATTATTGAGGTAAATGTGATGCTATTGAATCTACAACAGATGGGTATCCAAGTGCAGTTTTGTTGGATCCCTGCCCATGTTGATATATTTGGGAATGATGTGGCAGATAAACTGGCAAAAAGAGCACTTCGAGAAGAGAATATTTATGCAATTCCATTTGGAGGATCAGAGATAAAAAGTGTAATAAATCAGAGCATTGTTGCAGTGTGGCAGGAGATATGGGACCATGATGTTAAGGGACGACATTTGTACGGGATCAAAAAGAGTGTCAGAGCTTATAGATTAACACCTGCCAGTTATCAAAGGAGAAACAACACAGCACTTACTCGCCTAAGGCTCGGACAAACAGGACTGAACTCAACATTGTTTAGAATAAATAAGTCTGCTACAGATAAGTGTGACATGTGTGATGTAAGTGAGACAGTTGAGCATGTGCTGTTGAAATGTGAAAAGTACAGTGTGCAAAGGGATGCTTTTAAGGGCTCAGTGATAGAAGCAGGGCGGGAGTGGAGCATGGAGGGTATTTTGGGAGAGGGGCTTAATCAAGAGAAGGCATGGAGGGCACTATTTTGTTTTTTAAATTCAACAAAAATCATAAATAGACTGTAACATTGTACCAAAGGCATGGAGTATTACGCTCTAATACAGTAGGTGGCGGCATACGTCAATGCTGATTCGTAGCCCGCCATAAAATTACAGAAGAAGAAGATGTTCTAGAGAAAGAGGGAGGCACTCTCCATGTTGGTTTTGGAGAGAGAACATGTATATTCGGGAGCACTGTAAATAAATCCACCCTTTTTGTTACAAGTTTTGGGGCCTTGGTTTTGTTCTTCTGCCACTTTGACCACTCTTGCTACACTACCTCACATATATATTGTAAAAAATATATATGTATGTAATCACGTTTAGGCCAGCAGAGAAGGCTTTGCAGGCTTTCAGGGTCCGCCACTGTGTCATAATGAAAATACAAAGTATTATTTTTCCCTCCATTATGAAGAAAATAAGGAAGGTTTCTCACCCATCATCTGTACTTCTTAGCAAGTTTTGTGGGAAAACTTGCTAAGAAGTACAGATGATGGGTGAGAAACCTTCCTTTGCTTTGACTAATCCCTGTACGACTGAGGGCTTACACAAACTTATGAAGAAAATACACAATATTATTTACTCAGCTGTGGAATTTCTGTGTCTTGTAGCTCCAACCTTTAGACGCAGTCCTTATATCTTCTGTGAAATCCCGGAGCGAAGACTATCGTGCAGTGGTTTCTACAAGTCCAGTTCTGTACCTGACACATCCATTGTACCAGAGCCTAAGGAGACCCCTCTTCATTACACTGCCCTGTGCCCCCAGGCCCAAAAACCAGACACTGGCCTCAGAACAGATGGGCCACAGTTATGGTCAGTCCGGACCCACTGCTTCAACATGGGGTTCTACCAGCAGAATAAGGTCAGTAGTAGTAATGTTATTAAAACAAATACCATCCCCATACCAACAAGGTATGGGGATGAGAAATTAGTTTACTTACATTTACATCATTTACAAACATTTACATCATTTACCTTACATAATTTCTTTTAAAAACACTGAATGACCTTGTTGCATATTTACTGCATAAATCTGCCCATCCCTGTGTTTGGAGCTTTGAGATAGACTTAATAAAGTAAGTCTATTAATTTTAGTGAATTTGACTGCATTTGGAAAAGGAAAGTCCAGTCTTATTCAAGCCAAGACCAGCTACAACACTCATTCGGGTCTCTGATCGTAAAAATCTGCTTGGAAATTGATACATGAATCTATATCTGTATAATTATTACAGACATAATGTTCATTGTATTTCTGATTAAGAATAACTCCAGTTTAAGCTGTTTGAATTGCATGGCAGGACAACAATCATTTCTAATTTATCTATGTTGTGTATTGCCGTTTTACTGCCATGCCGTTTTTTTGTTTTTGTTGCATTTCCTGTGTTAGATCAGTTTTATTCTCTGATCTGGTCATCGACAACTTTATAAAATTCTCCGAGACTACTGCTGCTATACAAAATGAGTTGAATTGAAAACTGTCCAGAATTTAAATAAATACATAACCGGATATAAATTTGACTATTTTGATAATGTTAACAAACGCATTGTTCTTTATTGAATAAAAGTTCCAAATGTCTCTAAATGAGGCTGATGTGAGTACTGTATTCCACTCAAATGAAAAAGTGCTCAGTTCCCTTAAACTGCTGGTCGATGCATGAATCTGCTTTCAGAATATCATTCCATAATCTCATTCACTTCTGTAAAGCACTTATAATGTGAAACTCTTATATCTCAGATTCATTAAACGCAAAGGGAGATATATAAGATAAGATAAGATAAGAGATCCTTGGGGAAGTTTCAATGTATCGAGCCTTTTATTTTTCATATTGTTGATCATTGGCTCACAGCTTCTTAAAACCTCAAATAAAAAACGGACTGTTAGCCATACTCATCAACATTATAATAAATAAAGGCATGGTTTATATGTCACTCTGAATGTAATGAGTCAATTTCATATATTTGTTTCACAATTTGATTATTACAGAAATAGATAAACTTCAGAGCAAATTTTCTGAGTTTCCCCTGTAATGTTCAAATCTTACCTCTAGAGGACAGTAGACACACACACACACACACATTTTCTTTTTTCTTTTTGGTCTTTTTTCACAGGATGATCCCAAATTGTGCTAAATCAACTACAGGAGAGGCCCACACTGAGTTCCTGGTTCTTCTTGGTTACAAAGATCAGCAGTGGAACACTTTGGAGAAGATCCCAGTGAGGAATGGGCCAAAAGGACTGGTGCTATTTGAACTGATGGAAAGTTTTGACAGGTGTGAATCCAAACATATTTAATAATACAAGAAATTCCCACATATTACCAATTTATTTTGTTTTATTTGGGTAGTCTGGTTTGGGGCTGAAATAGTCAATTTGTGGCTTTGTTTTTGTCCTCATTATAGTCACAGTAGAAGAGAGTATAATTGACAGTATAATTTTTCAACACATACGTAAATACATAGTTTTTAATTTATTATATTTTAATTATGTTTATTTGACAACATTCCCAAACATATTATTATTTATTTATTTCAATTATTAACATTGATAATTTTTAGGTTGTTAGGGACCAAGCAGAGAAGCAAAAAGACCAATAATAATAATAATAATAACAATAATAATATTAATAATTATTATTATTACTATTAAAAAATATTATTATTATTATGATTATTAATAATACCTATAATCATTAGTATTATTATTATTATTTTTATTATTTCTATGGACAATACAAAACAATATATTGGCCATAAACAGAACATTACAGAAAGGACATTCTAACGTATAACTACCTCAAATGAAACAAATAAAATGAAGCAAAATTACCTACAGTTACATCATTCCACAGAATCTCAACTCTGTAGAGGAAAGGTGCATGATGTCATCCGATGGGGTGTAGCCATCATAAACAAAAAGCCGGGGTTTCTTCTATAAAGTGTTAAAATGAAAAATTATACTTCTCCTCAAATTTTCACCCTGGTAAATGACAAGGCAAACTGTGACGTAAGGCAAATACATCCACAGCAAAAGTAAAAATAATGCAGATAGAATTGCTGATTGGAAAGGATTCGCTGTGGTAGGAGGATTTGTAGTTAACTGCCTTTTGGGGTTTGGCCCATTATATTTCCCAGCATACAGATACATCTAAAAAAAAATAAACACAGTGTTTCAGTCTTTATAGATACAGTTACAGTTGTGTTGAAATATTAATTATAAAAAATATCAGACTGTTCTTACCAAAAGTCCCTGCCTGCTGAACTGCGACAGCCACATATGGCATTTTGGGAGATTGCAGAGTTTCACATTCCTGCCATGATCCCGTGTTGACACAATGAAAACGGTTTGGCCGCTCACACAGAGAAGGAAGATAAAATAAACCCTGTATATAAAGACACAAAGAGTAAATGACCCTGCTAATGTACAGTTATGTACACGGGTGAAACGTGGAAAATTACAATAGTACTTAAAAGTAAATTTAAAAAAAAGTAACTTCAACAATGTTATGACTATTATACATGAGAAATACCAAGCCTTTGTATGTTATAATGTTGATAATAACCTACGGTATGGCTCACAGCATGTAAAAACCCAAATAAAACGTATTCGCTTTTTATTTCCAAATATGGATTGTAAGTGTGTGAAGATGTACTTTAATTTCCTGACTTTTTAACTCTGTGTTCTTTTAAGTTGGTCCTCTGTCTTAATATTATTATTTTTATTTCATTTGTATTACATATATTTTTTCTATAGTCCAAAAACACAACTGAGAACTTACCAAAGTTGTTGATTCGATTCCAACAGATAAGAGAAACAAACGGTTCGAATACAGGAAATGAAATAATAACAAACACATATGAGCTGTTGGTTCAAGGAGAATGGTAACGACTGCTGTCCATAAATGTTCTCCAATGTTCTTAAATGTTCTTAAATGTCCATAAATGTCCATAAATGTTCTTAAATGTTCTTAAATGTTCTTAAATGTCCATAAATGTCCATAAATGTTCTCCAATGTTCTTAAATGTCTTCAATGTTCTTAAATCTCCTGGATCATTGCTATCCTCTAAGGACCTAATATATATTAGATTACATAAATAAGCATTGTAATCTTTTCTATTTTTATCAATTTTGTTGCTTTTGTTTTTTTTTTCTTGTTGTAATTGTATTTTTTGTATTTATTTAATATCTATTGTTGGTTAATGTTAATGTAATTTCTATCGTAACTCATAGACTTAGACCAGTGTCTCCCAAAGTGGGGTCCGCGGCCCCCTGGTGGGCCGCGAGGGTACTGCAGGGGGGCCGCGGGAGGTCATAAAAAAATAAATAAACATTTTAATGTTAAATTTATAATCTTTTTTTTGTAATATTGAAATATTTGTGTTCATTATTTGACTTGAATAATCCACTGTAATCATTTTTGTATTACAATGTTTGTAGCAGAGGCTATTTCCCCAAAATAAAATAACCAGAAGAGCCTATTCTTAATGTTGTCTTCTTGGTTATTATTTTGGGGGGCCACGCAGACCCGTCAGATTTTTAAGGGGGCCTCGGTGTTACTGAGTTTGGGAATGGCTGACTTAGACAATTACTATGAGTTTTTTTGTGTTTATTACTTTAGTTTTCATGTTTTTGAGAATCTATATCTTGGGTGTCAAAGTCAAGGCCCAGGGGCCAGATCCGGCCCGCAAATGAATTATCTTGGTCCGCGGGATAGATAGATACTTTATTGATCCCCATAGGAGAAGTCCAGTAGCAGCAAAAATAAAAATAAAATGGATCATTCTGATAACATAATAATAGTAATAATCAGCAACAGTCCTTCAGATCACAGCAGCAGAGATGGAGTAGCCTCTGGGTGGAGCAGGACGGGTCACAGCAGCACAGATGATATTTGATACCGGTCAGCACAGAGCAATAAGAAAATATTGGATTGTTCTTAAAATGTTCAGAAAATGCATTTTCTCTTTGAAGAAAGTTTGTTTTTATCTGTGAGCCTGAATACAGCAACAAATATTGTATTATTCATTTAATCATTAAAGTAAATACGGTACGCTGTGTTAGGTCTTGGTTAAATAGGTTATATGCAATAATTTGAAGGTGTTTTAAGTCCAGCCCTGGGCTTTTAGCAAACTGACTCTGACATTCCTGGTCCATATCACACATTGGTTTTGCGTTTGAAGTTTTGTTACAGAACTGAAAAGAACTTTTGAACCATATTCTAATTTTCCAAGCTTCACTTTCTACCTTTGCATTACAACACCGTCATGTGGGGTTGCAGTCTTCTGAGGGGCCTCACAAGACATCAATAAAAAGTAGAGAGGTTCTTGAATATGCCATAGTTTATTGAGTAAACTAGACAGACTAAACCACATATCGTTATGTTAAATACACTGGAAAATAAATATTTATAGATATTTAGCAGCATACCTTTTGGTAAAGTATAGCCTTTTCTGTTTCTGGTTTGGAGAAGCCTTGAAAGAATCCCAGTTGTGAACACAATGTAAAAGTGATTGTGTGTGGAATATCCTTGCAGCAGCAGGTGCATGGTGTCTGGAGAGAGCGTAGAACAGTGTCTGGAGGTTGGCTGGCTGCAAGGCTGATCATTGTCCAAACTGGCAGCAACATGTCCAAACACTGACCACACGCCGCCATCAAGACTCCCCCGATCACGTGAAGCAGCAAGCATGCATTATCCCTGCACTTATAGTTTGCATTCATTCTAAACAAACACAATATTGATTAAGAAAAAGATCTGAAACTTACTTCTGTTCAGCTGATTGGAAGGACAGCTTCATCCTGGTCCGAGTCCTGGTTCTACAGCTTGTCCTTCTGTGGGAGAGGATCTCTCTCTCAATATGGGCCTCCCCGAGGTTTCTCACTTTTTTCAATGGGTTTTGGATTATTTCTTGCTGATGCAGGAAGGTCTAAGGACAGTGATGATCCAGGACATTTATTAACATTTATGGACATAGTCATTCCAGTCCTTATGGACCAATGGCACATATGTGTTGATTGCTGCTGTGATTTAGGGTTCTGCTCTCCTGAAATGTCCTCACGTAGGACTAATAATGGCATTCATTCTTACAAAAATGTATAAAATAGAATTAAATGATGATATAATTAGATTGTAAAATTATATTGCTTTCTTTATTGTTTAGGGTTAGGGTTATCCCTCCTTCAGCTCAGGTCCTCAGGCCAGGGAGCTTGAGGGCACTGTGCAGTATCTTTGCTGTTCCTGGCATACAATGGGGCAAAAAAGTATTTAGTCAGCCACCGATTGTGCAAGTTCTGTAATTTTCATCATAGCTACACTTCAACTGTGAGAGACAGAATGTGAACAAAATATCCAGGAATTCATATTGTAGGGTTTTTAAAGAATTTAATTGTAAATTATGGAAAATAAGTATATGGTCAATAACACGAATTCAAGTCAATGGAAGGAGGTTTTGGCTCAAAATCTCACGATACATGGCCCCATTCATTCTTTCCTTAACACGGATCACTCGTCCTGTCCCCTTAGCAGAAAAACAGCCCCAAAGCATGACGTTTCCACCCCCGTGCTTCACAGTAGGTATGGTGTGCAACTCAGTATTCTTCTTCCTCCAAACACGACTAGTTGAGTTTATACCAAACAGTTCTACTTTGGTTTCATCTGACCACATGACATTCTCCCAATCCTCTACTGTATCATCCATGTGCTCTCTGGCAAACTTCAGACGGGCCTGGACATGCACTGGCTTCAGCAGGGGGACACGTCTGGCACTGCAGGATTTGATTCCCTGTCGTCGTAGTGTGTTACTGATGGAAACCTTTGTTACTTTGGTCCCAGCTCTCTGCAGATCATTCACCAGGTCCCCCGTGTGGTTCTGGGATTTTTGATCACCGTTCTCATGATCATTTTGACCCCATGGGATGAGATCTTGCGTGGAGCCCCAGATCGAGAGAGATTATCAGTGGTTGAAATATTGTTGTGGGCTACATTTGGGCTATCTTTTATACAGATAACGAGTTCAAACAGGTGCCATTAATACAGGTAACAAGTGGAGGACAGAAGAGCTTTTAAAGAAGAAGTTACAGGTCTGTGAGAGCCAGAGATCTTCTGTTTGAAGTGACCAAATACTTATTTTCCACCATAATTTACAAATAAATTCTTTAAAAATCTTACAATGTGAATTCCTGGATTTTTTTTTCACATTCTGTCTCTCACAATTGAAGTGTACCTATGATGAAAATTGCAGACCTCTGTCATTATTTTAAGTGGAAGAACTTGCACAATCAGTGGCTGACTAAATACTTTTTTGCCCCACTGTATATATTACCTTTAAAAGACTCTTTCTGTTGGGAAATGTCTTGTCTTTGTATTATTTATGGCAAACAGAAGATGAGTACTTACCAATGTGCCTCTCCCATGAATCCTTTGTTTTTTGTTTTCCAAGCACTTAACATGTTCTCATGAGCAGAAGCAAAAGTAAAGTGTCTGTATCCACCTTTGCATTTCATAAGGACTTAAAGAAAATGCATGGATTTATGCTTTGAATTCCAGAGTGAAACACTTTCTAAGGCCTCTTAACATTCTTGCTCCAGAGTTAATCTTCTTATACCATTTCTAATTAGAATAGCACCCGTATGCACAGTTCAATTTTTTGAAGACACTCCTGTTTCCAGACGTAATTTGTACTACTTGCCAATTTTAATAAATTATTTCAGTCATATCATCCAAATCTTCAAAGACAAACACGGGGATCACTTTACCTCCATAATAGATTATTTATATAAGATTATTTTCTTGAGGGCTTTGTGTGATGTTGTTCTGTGAAATGTGCTCTACAGATAAAGCTGACTTAACTCCTTTAACTCCATTGTTTTGCAGAGTGCTCGTAGTCCGCCTCGTTTCCGCACTAAACCCGTGCCAGCTCGTGTTGTTAGCCGAGGATCTGGAAGCAGCTGTGTTATTCCACAGCGTCGCCATAGTTCTTCTCAGGCAAAATGTAGACACTCGCAACATGATGGTTGCACTGGTGCTGAGCAAAGACCTAAGCTGGGAACTGTCCAGACTGAAGAGCCGTGGATACGACAGTCACACAGACAGCTCATTGGAGGTTACAATGTGTGAAGGAGACCGACTGCTTCTCCGCTTCAATGGGAACATCACCTCCAAAGGTAAGAAGTAGATAGTACACAATATTTGATAGATAGATAGATGGATACTTTATCGATCGCTGTAGGAGAAATCCAGGTGTCCAGTAGCAGCAAAAATAAAAAATAAAATTGATAATTCTAAAAAGATAACAAAAAGAAAACTTTATAAATAGCATTTGATTGATACTATTTGTAGTGTACTACTGGGGCATACAAGTATGTGTATTTTCAACCGTACCAGTGGATTGTCCAATGTCTTGGTACTGTTTTCCTACTTGGAACTATGCCCTCTACATGCCCGCAAGAAAATTAAAGCACATGAATGTCATTAAATCGTTGCATGTTGTCTGAGTTTTTATGGTGTTTTTTTCAAGTATTCTGATTTTCTGAAGTATTGAGTTATTATGATGTTATTTGTTCAAAAAGACAGATGTATTGGTTACTAAAGTTTCGTTTCACTACAGTGTTATTGACGTGTTGTTACCGTTGTATGTGACAAAGAAATATCAATCTTCATCTTTTAATCCATTTGATGTGTTCACACATCTCTTTAGGCACCGGCAAGTTTATTTGTACCATAGCTACATAATTTATCAACACAAGCGCAACTCAAAGTGCTGAACAAAACAAGAAAGCATTAAAATCATAAATAATCACAGAACATTAAAAAGAAAGAGAAAGATACAAAATCCCTCAGTTGTATGCCACAGCTAAACAGAACTGTCTTTGAACCTGGATTTTAAAACATTGTCAAGAGAGGAGGCCTGTCTCACATCTTCAAGAAGACTGTTCCAGATTTTAGCAGCATGAATCTGAAAAAGCAGCTCCCCATGTTTAGTTCTGACTCTGGGGCACTAACAGGGAGTCCCAGTCCCTGTGCTCTCAGAGTCGGCTGGTTCATATGGGACTATAACATGTCACTAATATATTTTGGTGCGAGGCCATGGACGAGACTTGTACACAAGCAGAGCCTGTTTTAAAGTCTATTCTCTGAGCCACAGGAAGTGCCAGTGCAGGAGACCTGAGGACCGGACTAATGTGGTCGTAGCTTCCTGGTTCTAGTCAGGACTCGAGCCTGCTGCATTTTGAAACAGGTACTGCAGCTGTTTTACAGCCTGTTTGGACAGACCTGTGAGCAGGCCATTGCAGTAGTCTAACCTACTGGAGACAAATGCATGGATAAGAATCTCCAGGTCTGCTTTAGACACTATGTTTTTGATTCATCCTCGGCAATGTTATTTTTAGATGGTAAAAGCTGCTGATGTTACTGATTTGATGTGGCTATTAAATTTAGGTCTGAGTCCAGTATTACCCCTAGATTTCTAGGTTGAAGGTTTAGGGAGAGAGACAGTAGGTGACAGATGACGCTCTCTCTTTGTTTCTGGGGAACCAAAGACAATCATTTCAGTTTTGTCTGCGTTTAGCTGAAGGAATTGTTTTGCATCCACTCACTGATCTGTTGGATACAGTGAAGGAGTGAGTCCACTGGTCCATGTTCTCCTGCAGTCAGTGAGACATAGATCTGAGTGTCGTCTGCATAGTTGTGATAGGACACTTTGTTTCTGCGTATTAACTGACCTAACGGCAGCATGTAGAGATTGAACAGAAAAGAGGTCCCAGGATCGAACCCCTGTGGTACTCCACAGGTCAGGGCCATATGACTCTGGAGACACAGTTTCCAATCTCCACAAGTACTTCCTGTCTTCAAGGTAACCTAAAACCTAAAACACTTTTGCTTGACACTTGTCACAGTATAAAGAAGCCAGTGATAGTCCACCCTTGATGTTTTAGTGATTCTGAATGTCGAAGCTACTGGGCGCCGTTGCAGATGCTAAGAGGAGGGAGGACTTGATTCTTCTTCTGCAGAGACCTCCCCGCATTGTTTGTCAGTTTCTTCCGTTGTTCTTTCAGTCCACAAGACTTTTTTTTGGCTTACTCAATTTTTAAAAGAGAGCAATCATGCATCTGGAATCAGACACAATTCTGGACAGCCAGAATCAAATCAGACCCTGCCTAATGCTGCTGAGAAAATGGACCAATACCGTCGTCTCTTAGCGTGGAAAGATTTTAGGTCCCGAATTGGATTTCTGAATATAGACACCAAGCGGGACCTTCTGGATCGACACACCTCAAAGAAGAATTCACGCCTCAAACAACAAAAATGATTCAAGCCAAGGAGGAGAAATCAACACATTTTGTAATTTTCTTCAGATATTAGTGACATAGGATATTGTGGTTTTAAGGTTGTGGTGTTGACTCAGGACAGCTGTGGGAAAAAGGTTGGCATGTTGTTTGGAACCATGACAACATTTCACCACAGGGAAGGCCCGGAACATGTAAAAATAAAAGGGGTAAAAATAAACCTCAGACTTTCAAAAATATTATCAAAGTGTACTCAGAACCCCAGGAATCGCATCATAATGGACTATACGGTGATCATCCAAGTGGAGCAATATAAACATGTGTAGTGATTTCATAACACTTTTAAGCCAAACTCTGGTTATAAGTTTCTAACTTCATTTCTTACATATGCAGAAGCCTGTACTTTTCCACTACTTTTTTTGTCTATCTGAAGGCCAAGCTACAAGCACACCGTGGCAGCTGCTGATGGAGGTCTCTGTTTTCTCCTGAGTATATTATCACTTTCTGTCCTGTACATATCCCTTGGTTTGTGTGCACTTTGTGCTAGTCTCTACCATTGACAATAAAACATGTCTTCTGTCTAAATTAAAGACACGATCCCAGACTTTGGCTGATTCCTAACACATGTCTAACTAATGTTTTACCAGGACAACCCCCCCTCTGTGGATGTGCAAAAAGCCTTAACGTTGACAATACTGTTTACACTGTCAATATAAACTGTAGGTATTCCATTTTATTCCTTATTTTTATTGCCCTAAGTCACTACGAGAGAGTACGCATCAGCAGTGTTCCTAAAAGCCTCGGAGAGCAAGAGTGTGGAGAGAGTGGATGGTCAACATTCATCATCTCTGCTTTAGACTTGAAACAAAATGACAATCGTCTGAGGATCCGTCTTTAATTCAGACAGAAGACATGTTTTATTTTCAATGGTAGACAGCACAAACAATGATGTTACAGAATGCAAGTGATATTATACCGAGCATGGAGGAATGGAGACCGTCCAATCAGCATTCTGCCGCGGTGCCACGTAGCTTGGTAAACGCCACAAAAATATTTCACCTTGGAGAGACCCATGAGGAAACGCATTAGACTTATTAGATTTAAGCATGTTTATTGATTGAGCATGTTTGGCGCCCTAGGCCCGGGCGGGATGCTGTTGAGCACGGCGCTTGCTCGCGTGCATGATCCCCCCGGGGCCTAGGCACTGGTGACGGCAGAGGCAGTAGGCAACACGCTTCATGCGAGAAGGAGGAGGTGGGGCGGCGGCGGCTTGCAGACTTCAGAAGATCGGGAAGTGGGCGTCTCCGGCTTTTAACTTGCTGTCCTGGTGGTTATTGGTTGACTGGGTGTGGGCGTTGCTGGTATTGATGAGTCGAGGAAGAGCAGCCTGTGGCCTGGCAGCAACAGCCGGGTCTACCACGGTGAACTTTCGCGAAAGCTCCATTTCACCTTGGAGAGACCCATGAGGAAACGCATTAGACTTATTAGATTTAAGCATGTTTATTGATTGAGCATGTTTGGCGCCCTAGGCCCGGGCGGGATGCTGTTGAGCACGGCGCTTGCTCGCGTGCATGATCCCCAAAAGCGGGCCTGCGATTGGGATAGCAGGACGTACTGCGCGGGCCTGAGAGCAAGAGCGAGCTGAGAACATGCGCACGCGCGCGCATGTTCAGCCAGCCGCTGTAGCAGAGGAATCTTTGAGCGAACTGAGAACATGCGCGCACGCGCATGTTCAGCCAGCCGCAGCAGAGGAATCTTTGAGCGAACTGAGAGCATGCGCGCACGCGCATGCTCAGCCAGCCGCAGCAGAGGAATCTTTGAGCGAACTGAGAACATGCGCGCACGCGCATGTTCAGCCAGCCGCAGCAGAGGAATCTTTGAGCGAACTGAGAGCATGCGCGCACGCGCATGCTCAGCCAGCCGCAGCAGAGGAATCTTTGAGCGAACTGAGAACATGCGCGCACGCGCATGTTCAGCCAGCCGCAGCAGAGGAATCTTTGAGCGAACTGAGAGCATGCGCGCACGCGCATGCTCGGCCAGCCGCAGCAGAGGAATCTTTGAGCGAACTGAGAATATGAGCGCACGCTCATATTCAGCCAGACGCTGAAGCAAGGAATCTTTGAGCGTTTGAGGAAAGTGCGTGCCGCCACCAGAATCTTATTGCTTACTTGCTTTGCTGGGAGCTTACGATGAAGCCGGTAGACGTTGTGCTGCCATGATAGCGGTCGCATCTGGCCGGATGTAGGTGGAGAAGCCGAAGAGGACCAGCGCCCCAGCCGTTGCAGAGGAAGAGTGGGGGAGCCCCAGCGAGGTCGTGCGCGTGGCAGCGCCTATCCTGAAGGAGTGGGCTGTATAGAGCTGGGGAGACAAATTGCAGAGGAGCAGTAGGGATCTTAGCTGAGCTCTGAACCAGGTTGCTGTTATGGGAAGGTTGACTGGAGTGAGAATTAGAGGTCCGTTAAAATCTCCTTTTTGCCGCGGAGGCGAGTGTAACGCATCATGGACCTGTAGGGGCAGAGAGATGTGTCGAAGCGAGCTATTATTGTGTTGCAGGCGCCTCTGATCTTTGAATGTTTGAGATGAAGGTTGAATGGTCAGGGGACATTATGTTGGGTGAGAAGAGCGACCTTTGTTTAATGCTTCCACTACGTCGAGATGATCACGCATGACAGAGATCCTCTTTCTCTGCCACGTGTGATTCCGCAGCGCGCAGGCCACGACCACTGGGAATGTCTCGTGTAGGGCAGAGGAAATGCTCCGGGGAAAGTAGCGGGCCACGGCCGGCGAACCACTGGTCCTGGAAGAATCCCCCAAAAACCCACGGAAGGGGCAGCGTCCGTGTAGAAGCGGAGACCTGTAGGGGCAGAGAGACACACCGGAGAGGGCCATT